TCTTCTTCTTCTTCTTCTTCTTCTTCTTCTTCTTCTTCTTCTTCTTCTTCTTCTTCTTCTTCTTCTTCTTCTTCTTCTTCTTCTTCTTCTTCTTCTTCTTCTTCTTCTTCTTCTTCTTCCCATACAAGGGGGAGGGTTGGAGCCCCGGGAAGCGGCCCAAAGGGAAATCAATACGAAGCAATAGCAGCGGTTCCTGTTTTAAAGTCACAGAGATGCCCGGCCAAGCGGGGCCTCCAATTTCTGGGTCGGCCGGGAGAGGCTTCGAGGCGTCCTGGATCCTGGCTGACTTGCACCGTTGCTGGCAGTTTTTGTTTTTTTTGCGGAGCAGAAAGGAAAGGAGTAAAAATGAACCGTTTCCATGCGGCAGGTGCTCGTTTCCCACTCGGCTTGTTTGGGTGTCCAGCATGGTCCGGTTATTGCGGGGCGGGGGTGGGGGAAAGGGATCTAGGACCATTTTTCACAGTTAGCTTTGTGGAAACCCCCATGATCATGTGATCAAAATTCAGATGCTTGGCAACTGGTTCATACTTACGACCCTTGCTGTGTCCCAAGGTCATGTGATCACCTCACGCGACCTTTTGAAGAGCAAAGTCAATGGCGAAGCCAGATTCACTTAACAACCGGAGTTACTAACTTATCAGCTGTAGTGATTCACTTAACAACTGTGGCAAGAAATGTTGTAAAATGGGGCAAAGCTCACTTAACAAATGTCACGCTTAATGACAGAAATTTTTGGGCTCAATTGTGGCGGTAAGTCGAGGACCACCTGTACTTTGTAGGGAGCTAAAGCATCCTTTCTCCAAAACAGCCAGGTTGGTGGTTTGGTTAATGGGACAAGCCAAGGTCTAGTTCAGTATTTCTCAACCTTGGCAACTTGAAGATGGGTGGACTTCAACTGCCAGAATTCTCCATGTTGGCTGTAGAATTCTGGGAATTGAAGTCTATCCCTCTTAAGGTTGAAAAACACTGGTCTAGTTCATGCTCGACCAGTGGGTGATTTTGGGGCCAGTTACCTTCTCTCCCCCATCCTACCTCACAGGGTTGTTGTTGGGGTCAAAAAGAGGTGGAAGGATCCATCTATATATCCTGCCCAGTACTAGTGTACAAAAAGCAGAATAGAAATCTAATAAATCAGTGTTTTTCCGGCATTGAAGGATTTCATCACTTGGATAAGAATCTCCAAGGTTGACTTTTGGTAACCACATGAACACATTTATGAGCAATGAAAGGTGTTTATTTATTCAGTTTATATGGTTGCCCATTTCACATGCACGATTCTGTTCTGCTGCTGCTCCTGTCACAGATGGTTTTCAAACTTTCTAATAAAAGGAAAGTAAATATAGGAGGAGGTTCAGAGTTATGCCCTTCTTTCTGTCAGAGCAGAACAGACTAGAAGGGTGTGGAAACCAGCAAATGAAAAACAAATTTAAAAATGACTGAGGAGGGGGCCATTAAAAATGTCCCCAGTGCATCCATAGGGCAGAAGCAAGGGGACAGGGATGTAAAATGTGGCCATCAGCTTCAATCTAAGACTTCTTATCAAAAAATCTCAAGCTAAGCCTGCTATTAAGCAGTTAAAAACCACTTACTTTGACCTTCCAGTTTAGTCTACAGTCTAGATTAGAGGGGTGGCAGACAAATCTAATAAATAAAATTCCTAATGGCCTGTCACCCAAGCAACATCCGATCTGACCCTGATTAGGTTTCTGAAATCTGCAAAGGTTATCTGTGCACTGCGAGACCTAGCTGAGTACCCTTTTAAAGCAGCTTCAAACAAGAGTGTTCAGGGTGGGGTTTTTTTTCTTCTATAATTCCCAAAGTTTGATTAATAGCTGCCATCCTATGGCAGGTTTTGTTTGCGGGTTTTGCATTTTGTGAAGTTAATCTGGTTTTTCTTGCTCAAGATTTCCAGTTCAACATTTTCATTGTCGTGTTTGACAAATCTGCTACAAATTCCCAAAACGAAAAGGAAAGAGAGGAGATGGAGAAAAGGTTTAGCCTACAGTATTCTAGACCAGAGACTTTTATCAGTTTTCAAAAGAGTAAAGTGCTTTATTATATAGCTTTAAAATCACAGCATGGTGTCAGTTTACACTATATTAATTTAATTAAATAGGTTTCTTAAGTGAGCTATTCAGTAATTAAAAAAGTCCTGGATGAAGTGTCGCTTTGTGCTACATATCATATACTACTTGATTCCTAACTATCCATAATATGACAAATAAATAAATGATAATATCGTTCTTTTACTAATGGCATTGCTATGTTCATGTTTTTTTTCTTTCTCCTTGTAACATCAAAGAAGCATTAAGTTATCCTTCAAAAGTTACCAAATATTTTAAAAAATGTAATATGTATGATATATATGCAATAAAAAAGAGAATATCACATATAATAAATCAAGTTGTAGCAAGCAAAATAGAAATTACAGCTTGTATACAGTGTTGGTATTGGTATTTATAAACATGTAATGTATATATGGACATAATTCGTGTCATGTTATTTATTGAATTTATTGGCAGCCGATAATAATAATAATAATAATAATAATAATAATAATAATAATAATAATAATAATAATAATAATAATAGTAACAACGTTGCAAGGGACCTTGGAGGTCTTCTAAATCTAGACCAACCCCCTGCTCAGGCCCTATACCATGTCAGAGAAGTGGCTGTCCAGTCTCTTCTTAAAAACTTCCAGTGTTGGAGCACTCACAACTTCTGGAGGCAGGTTGTTCCACTGATTAATTGTTCTAACTGTCAGGAAGTTTCTCCTTAGGTTGCTTCTCTCCTTGATTAGTTTCCATCTGTTGCTTCTTGCACAGGGTAACTCCCTAAACTAAAATTTAATTTGCATTACTCCTTAAACTGAAATACAGAACAATATCTTAATTTCATGTAAAGAAATCAGAAAAATAATTCAGCAATATTGTCTTTCTTTAAATTTTATATGCTGTGTTTTGACACTTCACAGTAGTCTAAATAACCAAGGAAATCCAGTTGCCTTTGGAAAAAGCACCTTTGGGATTTCAGAATGGATTCACCCTGGTTTCTGGAAAGTAAACATAAAGGAGGTGCAATGGTATGTGAGAATGACCTTGGGATACTGGGCAAAGAAATGCTGTCAAGGGAACAGTCAGATAAACAACATTGAGGTTGGCCTTGCAGGACATACCGGATAAGAAACACAACAAGATCAGCTTACTTTATTGTAAAGTTACAATGACAGAATCTTGCAACTCTGAAAGTATGTTTTTTCTTTCTTTTCTGAGCCTTTTGCCCAGCCCACTATCCAACTGCAGGCTATGCTATCTCTTATCTGACTGTTCCCTTGGCAATGTCTCTTGACCCAGTTTGCCAAGGCCATTCCCACACACCATTACAGAAGGGAAGAAATGCTTTTCAGATATGCAAGATTCTGTTACTGTAACCTTATAATAAAGGTAGTTTTATACTCATAGTTTTGCTTCTTGTCTGGACTACCCTGAAAGGCTGACAATCACTTGCCCAGGAGAGGATGTGTTGGGTTTTCTTCCTTGGCAAGTTAAGGGTAGGAA